AAATTCAATTCTACCTGAGAAAGTCATGCAGTGAGTTCCCATTCATTCTAGAGCTTTTTTTTTTTTTAAAGAAAAGTTTGAGTTTGAGACTGGTTATATTCCAGAGTGCTCAGACTATAATGCATTTTTTTTTGCAGACTAATGGATGCACTCAGCTTTCAGTGATAAGCACACTTTAAAATATAACCAAGCCAAGAGCCAAGACAAAATCTAAATCTGAATCCTATAAGCATTCCATTAATTAAATGTAGTTCATATGATTATTCTAAGTCATATTTAATCATTTTCTCCTTCTATAGAGATAAAACTCAATGATTTTAGGGGCCCTAAACCCTTGGATTATACACTCCTGTTTTAAAAGAAATCAAGGAACAATCCAGAGGGTCCATAGATCAGAAAGTACCTACATATCTGCAGCCCCACATCTTTTTATATCTATCATATGCTTAAAAGTGGGCACCATCTTGACTTGTGCAAACATCCCTGCAAACACTCCTGGGCACAATTTTCCCCCTTTGAAGCACTTCCCACTGACAAACAAATGCCTATTGGCTCACTTCCCTTGACCAGTTTTCATAGATGGACAAGAATCCAGAAGCCCAGTCATTTGTCTTCTTCCAAGCAGCTTTTACATACATTGTGGATGAACTAAATTATATACAACTATTAATATTGAACAACCAGCTTCTCAATAACTATTCCAGATCTTGTCTCTTAGTTCAAAGTCCAAACTGGAATATAACCAGGTATTTTTTTTTATCAGTTTAGCAATTTTATCAGTTTAGCAATTTTATCAGTTTACCCCAGTAGACCCTCCTTCACTATTTCAGGATCGTGAGATAACAAACTTACATTGTCTCTATATCAGCAGTTTAGTATTCTTGGCTGTCCTTTCTAACACTGTACTATGGATTGTGGGTGCTAATCTAGACCTGGATCCTCATTTATCCTGAGTGCTTTTCATGGGGCTGGGTTAATTTGAATTTCCAAGAAGCTCCCAGATACAGATCATATAATTCAAATGGATACAAACACATGAAATTATAGTTTACTCCCAGGGAACAATATTTTAATGTGTTTATAGTACACCTTAGTAAACTATTTGTGTCAAGCGTTTTCGAAGAAATCTCGTAAATTGAGATGATACCAAAAGAAGCCAAGTAGCATCATTCCATCACTCGAGGAGTAGGTGGATTAATCAAGATTTCATTAAAACCAGTACTAAATCTCAGGACTTGTTTCAAAACCCAGTGCACAGGCTGTCATTTGAACAAACAGTAAAAACAGCAGCAGCAGCAGCAGCAGCGTAAAAGCAATTTCAGCACCTTTAAGCACAGACCTACCTGGAATTCTCTTCATGTCTGGGATTCAGAAGAAAGATGTATAAGTAATCTTGAATCCAAACATATGTTTATTATATTATTTAAGCTTGCAAGATAACCAACCCAAAGATTAAAAGTTTGATCAATGAAAAGAAATAGGAATAAGACTGAGAGGATAAAGTTCATTCAGGACTAAACAAACTTCCCTTGGAGTTCATTTAAACAACTAAGACAATTATAATCTCTTCCTATCCCATTGTTGATTTTGGCTTTGAGTCAGTGATATGAATAATAATAGGTATGCTTTGAGAAGCTGTCTTTGTATGATCTCACTATCTTCCCTTTACATGCAGGATTCATCTAAAGCTCAGCAGCCAAGAGTGTCAGACAGCTACTGTACCTGTTTCAGATTAGAATGATTGTATTTTTATTTAAAATAATGTGTCTGACAGCACAGTGGCTGGGAACCAAGCCCATATTTTGGATGATTCCTTTGCTATTGCAGAGAGATAATTGTGCTTAAAATGAATGTTGGAGATGGACA